ACATCACCGGGGAGCCTGGTGCGTTCCAGTCTGGGTTAGAGATTTCAATCAGCTGTTCTCGTCAGTTGTCACTATCGAAAGCCCAAGCAAAAAAACAACGTCCGCTGCGCCAGATATAGAGCCGTACGAAATCGAACATGCAATTCGCAGTACGAAACCAAAAAAGCAGCAGTAATAGAAAAACTCCGGGTGGAATAAATCCAAGCTGGAGGCGAAAAGCTTTTCAAAGTGCTCAGTGCTCGCTTTTCATTGTGTCTTAATTCCGGTAAGATAATAGCAAGTTAGAAGTAATCCAGAACAGTTCTGGCGCTTAAAAAGGGCGACCGGGAGCAAATCAACAGCTACCGCTCAATACGGTTATCCTCCACATATACAAAACTTTCGCGCGACTAATATTCTCAAGAATTACGATGAAAACACGAGGAGGGAGGAAGCTGGATTCAAAAGCGAATTGACCACATCTTCACAAACAAGCAGCTAGTCGAGCGGTGCGAGGAATACAAAGTACCCCCATGCTTCCTCTTCACTGACTTTCAAAAGGCCTTTGACCCTGTAGAGCACAACGTCGTTTTACAGTTTCTTGCGGAGTGTATATATACAAATTATTAACCCAGACTGGAACGCACCGGGCGGGCCCATGCGATCATATGTTTTTGCACTGGATTTGAATGGTTGTTGCTTTGCACCTACCTCTTGCGATCACTACCATAAATCACCATAAATTTTGCAGGCCTTTGAAGTAGATGTACAACTTCCATTTAACGATCGTTCTTTAAAAGTAATCTAGTTGCTCAGTCAGACACTCAGCCAAAATTTCAAGTGTCTGTACGTAAGAACCAGCGTAACTCGAGTCTGAATTTAAAATACTTAAGTAGTATTTGGACAGGGAACATCCCCCTTGAATTCTTAGCCTTCCAGATTTTCTAGTTGCCGAATTAGTAATTTTCCCGCAGGAACTTTCATAAGTCCTTACGTAGGTACCACGCATAGCTTGGGGCTGAATTTGAAATATTTGAGTTGTACATATATTATCCCAAAATTTCAGCCTTCCAGCTTTTCTGGATAGCGAGTTAGAAATTTTCCCGCTGAAAACTTTGCGTGCCCGTGCGTGGATACCCTACGTACCCGGAAAGCTGAATTTGAGATTTTTAAATTGCACGTAGACAGGGAGCATCACCTTAAAATTTCAGCCTTCCAGCTCTTCTAGTTGCCGAATTAGTAATTTTCCTGCATAAACTTTCAAACGCTTTTACGCGAGTACCACGTACAGCTGGGGGCTGAATTTGAAATATCTGAGTTATACTTTGATAGGGAATATTGCACCAAAATTTCAGCTTTCTAGCTTTCCTAGTACGCAAGTTAGCAATTTTTCTGCAAAACTTTCAAGCACCCTTGCGTGAGTACCACGCATACTTAGAAGCTAAACTTGAAATCCTTAGCTAGTACATGTACAGAGAATATCCCTACAAAGTTTTAGCCCCTTAGCTCACGTGGTCCCGAGATCGCTTTCCCGCCGAAAAATTTGCATTTTTTTAAAGCATCCGCACACGGCACCCAGGCATCCACGAGGGACCCAGGCACCCAGGCATCCCTGCCTGTCCCCTCACCTCCCCGTCCCGCTCTCCCA